GACGTGAAAGTGTTTAGAGTTTTCCTTATGTTATGAATTTGGATAGAGTAATTGTGAAGTGGAAGGCAGGAAGCTAAAATGTGTGGTTCCTTTGAGATTTGTGCTTTGTCTGTACTTAGAAATTTAAACAAAAATCTGTCAGTGAGCAGCAGCTGATGTTGCCAGTACAGAGAGCCTCAAAAAGTGAAGCAAATGTATGAAAGCCTTCCAGGCGGCAGGCAAAACATCCGTCTTGTTTGAATTTGGCCAATTAATGTAAACGAAGCCCCTAGATACAGGAAGCCAATTGGATTGAAATCTGATGGTGTTTACAACCTGAAACCAATCACATGATAAGAATGTGATGATGTCATAATGGGGAGAGAAGGCGAGGGAGAGAGCCGACTGTCATCTGCCAGAGTTAGCACCATTCAGCTCTCAGAGAAAGCACATCGAATTCATCAAAAGTACCACAGCGTTTTAGCTCAAAGTCCTCATTGAAGAAATTATAGAGATAAAACATTCCTAACGGCAGAATTAATTGGAAAAAGGCATTTGTGAAGAGAGCGGAGATGACAGAATATTCCAGAAGACATTCTGTGCGAACTTGGAGAGATTAAGTTGTAAGTTATTTATTGCTTCTTATTAATTGAGTTTCTATGAGTGGAACTTATTTTTTATTTAGACAGCATTATAGTAGAATTTAGACCATTTCGGGAGTAGTTACCAGTCTGAGGGGGAATTGTCGGTTTGTTAGTAATTTTGTTAATTTGTTCATTGTTGGGTTTAATAAATAAATTGTTTCTTGTCACTTGTAAAATGGAGATCAAGAATTTTCTTTCTATTACATTCTCTTTTAATAGATTATGAAGGGAAAGGCGAGCTTCTGAGGGTGTTTAGGGGGTAATTATTAGACGGGAACCGCTACCTCTGTCATAACAGATCGGGGCTTGTGTTTTAGTTTAATTATCAGAGGGGTCCGGCCATTCCCTGTTGTAACACCTTCTGTCAGTTCTCTTTAGTGAGGGATATCTGCCGGGCCCTGTCCTGTTAGATTCCCAGAAGCTGCAGTGATTGGGTCAGTGAGTTCACAAGATTGACAGTTGAATGTGAGCAGCTTGTCGGACTATTTCAGCTCACTGTCCATTTCATAACCCAGCTCACGGTAATGGTTCTCATTTTCTGCAGAAGGCACTTGTGATCCACCTAAAGCTGCCTTTCGTCGCAGAAACTTGTGTGTGGGGATGGAGAACGGACATGAAGCACATGGAGTGGATATAGTCATGAGGACTCTGTCACTCTCGGGGATGTGTCTGTGTGTCTCCCTCTGTAGGTGAAAATGAGGATGAGTTCCTTAAGGGAGTATTTGCACAGTTTTACCATCTGAACCTTCAGTTCAATTCATTGTGTCATTTGAGAATACAGGGACGAGCTGATTGACATTTGCCCTTGAACCATGAGAGCACACAAGGCTATGGGCTAAATGCTAGAAACTGGGACTGCAATAGATGGAGTTTTGGTGACCTGCACTGACACAATGGGCGGAATGGTTTTCTTCCACCCTGTAAAAACTCAAAAACTGAGAAATAAATCAACAGTGAAAATGATCGCAAATTAAAACGCAAAGGCAGTATCATTGAGAAAATATATGAATGTGTCTGTTGCTTTCCCTGGTGATCAAGTGGTTAGGATTTGGCACTCTCACCTTTGTCACCTACGTTCGATTCCTGGTCAGGAAATGGAAGTTCTACTCTGCTAATTTATCGTGATAACAGCATTTCTGACTGTTTTTTTCAGGAGCTGTAAGGTAATCTATTTTATTGCAAACGCTATTCAGATTAACATAAAAGAAAGAACTGTGGAAAACTGACACGAAAACAGGAATAGATTGAGAAACTCAGCAGGTCTGACAGCACCGGTGTAGAGAAATAGAGTTAACATTTCGGGTCCAGTGACTATTTGTAAGTGCAAGGTTTGTTATGAATTTCTATATTACAATGCCAGAGGAAATTGTCAGCTCTGTCTGTTGAATCAACATATTTATCAAATTGTGCTCTCTCATTAGCTGACAACTGTCAACTTTACAACCTTAAAGGTATTTCATTGGCTGTAATGCTCCTTCCATTGTCCAGATGTGGTGAAAGGCTGATTAAATGGTTGCCTTTTTCTTTTCCCTTGTGTCAGTTCGCAGCCATGTCAAATGGAGAATTGGTCCTTTCAGTGTCTCCCTCAATATGTATCTCTATTTGTCTCTCTTTGTTTCTGTATATCCACTTCACCCCCTTTCACATTCTCCAACTCTCCTTCTGTCAAAATCCCTCATTTCCCATTCCTGCACTGTGTAAAGTCTGAACTTCGGAGATAATTTAAGAGTGGAGTTGCTGAGAGGCTTTTACCCTCTGGCTGGAGTGTCTCGAACTGGATTCACATTCCCCGGATAATGTGTCTGTCACTTCGGGCGGAGGTAATGAAATATTTCTTCTCTCAAAAGATTGTGAATCTTTCGAATTCTAAAGGATTGTAGTGATGTCTTTACTGTTTGGTGTAAAATGAATGAATGGTGACAGCGGAGAATGAGAGAGATCAGCTCACTCTGACTGGGCCATTACCACAACATTCCCTGCTAAGTCTGCAATTTATCCTGCTCACCTTGTTATTCCAACCAAACTGGGAATGAAGGGATGAGAAAAGAAGAAAAGGAGAAGCAGAAGTCCTTGCAGAACAGCAGAAAGGAACTTCATGATGAATCCATCAGAAAAAGAGAAGTCACTGAAGCAGTCTCCTGAGGACAAATGTGTTTTCTTTGCCAGTAAAATTCACCACTTCACGAAGCAGGGACCATTGGACTGAAGCTTTGACAGTGATTGTCTTTGCTGGTTGTTCACTTTGTGAATGTTACCATTGCTGCTGATGTCCCTGTCAGCACCACAACACTGGCGCATGTAAGCATTGCACATACGTGGGGCCAGTGGTGCAATGGATAATGCGCCTGACTACAGATCAGGAAATTGTAGGTTTGACTACCTAGCTCAAGTGTAATTCACAATTTCTTTACACTTCCAAACTAATCTTCCTCATTGTCCTGAAACCAAGATGAGCTTTGAATTTCTAATCTGCAGAAACGAGACTCCTTTCAATGTCTCACATCAGTAAATGTCACCGAGAATGTCAGAGGAGGGGAAGCTGAAATAGTCCCACAAAATTCACGTTCAATTTCCCACATCTACTGACCCAGTGACTGGATCTCCCGGGAATGGAAAGAAAACAAAACAAAAAATAAAACCAGTCTCTGCTTTGTGAGTCTTTCAAAATTCTTTGGGAAGCAGAATCAGAGGAGAATGAAGGTGAATTTTCCAACTGAGCAGCGGCAGTCGAGGAAGCTTCCTCGTCATGAAGAGGCTGGGACATTGACTCTGATGCTCTCGGGGACATTAACTGACATGAGACACTGAAAGGATTCCCGTCAGAGACTGCTCTGTGTTTGATTTTGTTACTGTCAGGAACAATAAATCCTGATTCCCTGACCAGAAATTGAACCTATTATCCCAGTTTCCAACATTTAACCTGGAACCTTGTGTGCTCTGATGTTTCAAGTATTCATCTCAATGATATTTTCCCTGTAATGTTTTAATCTCAAGTGCCACAAAGAATGGGACTGAGATTTGAGATGGGAAACTGAACCTCATTTTCACCCAGAGAAGGAAACACAGAGGCACATTGTCCCAAGAGCGATGTCAGCTTCAGGAGAGACCAACCCCAGAAAGCAAGTATTTCACCCATCAGCCTTATATCGTCCCATTTCAGACTTCAAAACCAGTGTCTGGTTACAGCAAAGAAAGGAAGCATTCGGCCCCTCCCCTGCTGTGTTACTTGCCCCATTGTTTCTCCATTACTCTGCAGCTAATCCTGCCTCACCTCATTCTTCCTGCCAAACTGGAACATTGCTCATGCCAACTGCTTTCTGTCCTTCTGAAAGATCTTCCTCAAGTACCTGAAAGGACAAACAGCAATGTGGTATTTCAAACGTATTTCTTGCTGGTTGAGGAAATGTCATGGTGGTATTAATGCTGTTTCATCAGAAATAATTTCAAATGTCTTTAAAGAGCTCCTTTGGTTGGTTCCAGCAGGTGGTGAACATTCTGTCAGGCCCCAGAAAGAATCAAACTCAAAACCACTGGGTGAATCACCAAACTACAAAGTCATGCATTAAAAACTGCAATGTCATAGATGACTGGATAGCCTATGCATCATACACCAAGACAATGTAACAAATCCCATACAGAGCTGAGGGAATCATGTGCAGAAGGATGGGAGAATACAACGCCAAATCAGACTGTGTCCAGGGTGATATGAACAGAGATCTGCCCTGGTAGTCTAGTGATCAGGATTCAGTGACTTCAATGGTTAACATTTACAGTAATAAATATAAAACACTGACTAATCCTTAGAAGCAGAATTATGTAATGGACCAGTCAGAATTGATTCACTGCATATTACTGTTCCACATTAGCAATGTCAGCCGTAATTGCCTGACGTGCAATCGGTTTAAAACAAGAAAAGAGCAAACATCAGGAAAAGTGAAGGGTGATGGTGGTTTGCGAGAGCTGACTGTTGGCCTAATGGAGCCAGGCCCAATGTGGGTTCTGAAGACTGATTTTCACTGCTTACCCTGGTACATAGGTCACTCTGAATCAATCACCCACAATGACTCTCCTTTGTGTGGTTGCCCTTTGCACATCTCACCTCGGTTCAGTGTCTGGAGGGGATCCACGCATGTTAACTTGGCAAATTTTGCAAAGTCTGCCTTACAGTCTCATATTAAGACCATAAACGTTCGGAGCAGAAAGAGACCATTTAGCCCATTCAGTCTGCTCTGCCATTTAATGAGCTTGTGACTGATATGATAATCCTGAACTACACTTTCTTGCCTTTCCCCATAACCCTTGATACCTTTGCTGATTAAAAATCTGTCAATCTCACCACTGAATACACTTAATTACCCAGATCTGACAACTCTCCGCTGTAAGGAATTCCACCGATTCACAACCATCTGAGAGAATAAATGTTCCTCATCTGTCTTAAATGTGCGATCCCTGTTCTGATATTAGGCACTCTGGTGCAAGACTGCCCAGAAGGAAATTTTTTGTGTCCACATGTTAAATCTTAAAGAAACCTGTATGCTTTAATAAGGAGCAAGTATTTTTGTATTACTGTATAGTCAATGGATTTCAGTGCTTCCTCCTGTTTGGTTTCATCCTTGATGGTAAAACTTCCACTGATTCTGACAGAGATGTCCCCTGTATGTCTTTTAATGTCAGGAATTCACGTTCATTTTAAGAGTTTGGACAGGAACAATAAAGTCCTCATTCCTATTTGGGAATCAAACCGAGAACACAGCAGTTACAATGCTGAATCCCAAAAGGGAGGGTGTACACACTATTTGCAACTTTTCTTCTTGACACTGATTTTGACCTTTTGTTTCACTTGCAAAATGACTGCCAGTGAGATTTTAACACCATGGAGAGAGGCCCTTCAGCCCGTTATATCTATGCCAGTCATCAAACATCTCACTTCTCGACCCAGTTTCCAACACTTGGCCCATCGTCTCGTTTGCGCTGACGTTTCAAGTGTTCATCCAAATAGTTAGTTTATGTCTTGAGGGCATCAGTGGAACAAAAACACTTCCTTCAACAAACGACAGGAAATGTTGTTTGCTGCAACATGAAATCTATGTTTTTCTCTTTGAAGACAGTTATGAAAGCCAAACTCTTTCTCAGAACCATTTGCCAATTTTCCTCATGATGCCAGCAGTGTAGATTTAAATCCCATACCACCTGAGGTTACCACTAATGACTCTCCCCTTTCAACCTCTCTGCTGACATGAGATATGGTGTCCTTCAGGTCAAACCACGACCAGTTTTATCTCTCTCCTGTGACCGAGAATGTGTATGGCGACTCAGTGTCAGTACCAGTGTGGCTCAGTGTCAGACTTTGTGATATTATTATCCCTGGGATGCAAAAGGCATTGTATTATTAATTAATTATTATTAATTATTAGTTGTATTATATATGTCAGTTGCCTTGGAAGAAAGTGTCGAGAAAGATTGCTTTTACACATTA